TGCTCCAAGGTTCCCACGGCATTTTTCAGTGGTGTTTCTGCTCCCCCATTTGGTCTTGCCATTTGGTCTCGCCCAAGATGTGGGCTCCAGGCCTCCAAGCCCGGCAGATTCAAAAGTACGCAATTTCCTACTTCAGCTTCAAGTTCCAGTAGCTAGAAGCCTTCAAACTTTTAAAATATTCTTGGCTCTGTGGTTCCGAGTTTTGGAGCTCTGCCCTGGATCTGCTTTGCCTGGTATTCTGAGGTATGGCTGCCCTTGCCGAGTTTTTGCAGATTTTTCCAGAGCATTGGAAAATAACTCTTAGAATGGGTAATACCAGCTGAGGGAAAAGATACGCACATTTACCATGTCCAGTCCACAGGCAGTCCTGAAAAACTCCTCAGAAGCATTTGAGCCAACGAAACTCCAAAGAGAAGGCTGATTTATTTCATGTTGTGATAAAAAGTAATTTGGTTTAATTGGCACTGGAGTTTTCCATCTCATATTGCCTTTTAGTAGCCAGACTCCTTGTTGTTCCTTTGCTTCCAGTTTGCCAGGGCAGCCACTTATCAATCTGAAGTCCTAATTCTTTTACTCTGGTAGGGTAGTGGATTATGAGACTGGTAACTGAATCTTCCATTCACGCCACAGCAAAAAGATGAGGCTTTTCTGCTCCCATAAAGAACTACAGCCTGAGAAACTCTATCAGGATTGCTATGAGTCGGAACAGACTGCACGGCACACAACCACCCCCAGCACCAATTCTTACACACAAGTTCTTCTCCAAATTCTGACACGTCTTGCTTTTTAATCATTTCTGCTTCTCTAGCTCTGTTTTACATTTGGAGGAGTCTTGGAGTAGAATCCATATTAAGACATTTGAATAAGGTAGGCAATCCTCTCCTTTATAAATGAAAGTCAGTGTCTGGTCCCATCAGCATTGTTGTTAAAATGCCATCAAGTCGGTTCTGACTCATAGCGACCCTGTTAAGGGTTTCCAAGGAGCAGCTGGTGGGTTTGAATTGTTTCAAGTTCAGTGCTGATCCTACAGCACCACACCAGGAGTCCCATCAGTGTTGTGGTTGAATGCCGTTGAGTTTGTTCCAATCCATAGTGACCCTGTATAGGGTTTCCGAGGAGCAGCTGATAGGTTTGAACCGCTGATGTTGTGGTTCAAACTGACCTTGCAATCCAGTGCATTATCCCACAATGCCACACTTAGATTCCCAACAGCATTAGAAACCCTTTATCTAAGAGGTCATGAGAAGGAAGGAAGTAGCAATAGCAGAAGTGGATTGAGAATGTGGAGAGAGAAAGAGCTTCCAATGTCTCAATCATTTCCTCCAGTTTTTTAATTCGTTCTGCACAGCTGGCCAACATTCTTCCATTTATCTTGAGATCCAGATATACCTATAATCTTTTTGTTTTGCATATGTTGTGAGCTTGTGTCTTTTTCCTAAAAATCTCCGGAAATTTTCCAATTTGTCTACCTCAAAAGAGCCTTTCTCAGGCCACTGAAAAGCAAGGTTCTCTTAGACACACCCATTCCAGCCATGACAGAGTGTGAGGAGCCTATTAGAGAAAGGCCTGCTGACAACATTCACATTTCCCTCTGGTTTTCTACCATTAAAGGTGCTGGTGACTCAGATAGAGACTCAAAGCCTGTATTACTCATTTTGATCAATAGTAACTCAAAATTTTTCAGCAAATGTTTGAAATTTTCCCTGGGAACTAAATGAGTCAAAATAGTAAAAATATGAGACTTTTTAGCATTCAGGGTCTCTTTATTAGATCAAAAGTGGCTACAAGTCCTCCTCCAGCAAATTCATGGTTTTTTTTCTTCATCTCAATTATGATTATTGTTGTTATTAAGTGCCGTTGTTATTAACTTCCAATTCACATAGCAACCCTGTATAGGGTTTCCAAGAAGCAGCTGATGGGCTTGAACCGCCAACCTGTGGTTCACAGTCCAGCATTTATCCTATAGTACTGTTAATTTATTAATTTCTTCTAGTAATTCTGTCTTTAGCATTCCCAATTTGGTGACTTGCTGCTAAGTGTATGTAAGTTCAGAATTATAGCTTTTTGTGAGTTATTCCTTTTTTATCATTATGTATTAACTTTATCCCTGATAAACAGTCTGATGTTAATATTACAAGAGCGATATCTGGTTTCGTTTGGTTTATAGTAAGCCTGGAATCTTGTTGTGGTGCTGTAGGATATGCACTGGACCATAAGGTCAGTTTAATCTCAGGGTAAGAGGTTCAAACTCACCAGCCACTCCTCAGAAACCCTATGCAGGGTTGCTGTGAGCCGGAATCAACTCGACAGCACTTAACAACAGACTACAATTGCTTGAAACAAACGGGGTTTATTTTTTTCTGAAATAACAAACAGTGTCAGTGTATCTGCCCTGGGAACCCAGGCTCTTTATGTGGGTCTGTTTGTCATTCACAGTATGTCAGCATTCTTCTTCATGTTTGTTTTCCCCCCATGAGGCTGACGTGTTATTTAGAAAACAGCCTCTACCAGCCTTCTCTGTACATCTGTTAAGAGATCTGCTCTTAGCTCAGTCCCTGTCCAACAGAGATGAGATTAGCATGAATAACTTACGCCAGTCATGATTCGTTAGTACAAGGCCCATTCCTCCTCATGTGTTTCCCATTTCCCTTGCAAAAGGAGAAAAGGAAAGGATGATGCAAGCAGCCTTTATTATCTCTGTGGTGTGTGTACAATATCCTGTTTTAACTCTAGAGCCTACATCCTATGATTGTAAATGATCTGTTGTTTACACACATTTTATGAAAGTTCTTTAATTAGAAAGTGGACTCTTCTATTTCTATTTCTAGACTGAGTAAAATGTGACCTGTTACCCATACCAAATGAAGTCACCAGGGAGAAAATGCTTATGCAGCCCCATCTTTAGAGCCAGATGCAGTTACATTGCTTGTCATCATAAACAAACATTATCACCCACTGCTGTCCAGTCAGTCCAGCTCTCAGAGACCCTGTAGGACAGACAGACAGAACTACTCCGGAGGGTGGTTTCCAAGGCTGTAGACTGCCACATCTGTCTCTGAGTGACTGGTAGCTTTGAACCTCTAACCTTTCCATTGTCGGCTGAGCAATTAACCACTGTCACCAGGATTCCTTCAAACATCATTAGTGACTAACAAAATAAAATGTTCTTAAGATTCCACAAAGCATGAGTATAAAATAACATAATAAGGTTTTTTTTAACAAGATGAGTTTGATATTGGTAAATGGCAAGTACAGCTAGTCTCTGAATAACCAGAGTTTAAGTGATTTGCCTTTATAAGTCTCTGTAATGCAGTACTATTCAAACATAGAGCAGTACATGGCACAATACATATATAAATTAATTCCTTTGAAATAATCGACCTGTGTTGTCGTCAAGTGCTGTCGAATCAGTTCCGATTCATAGCGACTCTGTGTAGGGTTTCCAAGGAGCAGCTGGTGGGTTTGAACTGCCGACCTTGTGGGTTCAAAGTCCAGTGCTGATCCTACAATGCCACACCAGGAGTCCAGTAAACCTGTGTAGCCTTGGTTTATGACATTAACTATGTAATCCTGGACTCCTGGTGTTGCACTGTAGTATCAGCACTGAACTGCAAACCACAGGTCAGAAGTTCAAACCTGCCAGCTGCTCCTTAGAAACCTTATGTATATACGGGGTCGCCATGACTTGGAACTGATTCAATGGCGCTTAAAAACAGCAACAACAAAGCTGCTCTTCAGTCATCCCAGAGACAGCCTTTGTCCTCTAGACAGGCTCTAGAAGTGATTTCGAACCCAAATTCTTCTACCATCATTCATCACAGCTTTTCAGAAGACAGATTCAGTTTCATGATTTTCCATGAACCTAATACCACTTTATCTTTTGTATCTTTGTTAGGCCAGACTATCAGATAGCCTTTCTGACTTAGAATACAGGACCTCAAACTCTCATTTTCCTTATCCCATGCTCTGAAACTTCCCCCGGCCCATAAGGTCGGACTAAGAACAGTCTTTGTGGTTTGCATTTGTAGCCTTCAGCATGTACAAGGCAAGTTGGTCTGTTTTAGTTTTGTTTTGAAAAATAGCCATATGTTAGATGGTTCTAGTTCTTCCCCATGGACCACTGCGACAACACATATACTAATAAACCAAATGTTTTGAGTTGTACTTAAAAGTAAAAGCATTTACCTGCATTGATTATGGGTTCCCTCCAAGAAGAAAAGAACTATCTATAGATATGAAAATGGAGTGCTTAGAGCTAAACTGTAAACGGCTGTCATTATTGTCATTCAAGGCTGGAGATGTTTTCTATGAAGACATCAAATTAAGTGAGTTATCAGGTTGAAGTGTGGAAACAGAGTCCAGTGCTAGATAAATACTTCTTGGCTGACTACATGCTTTGACTTGGACCTTCTCTTGTAGACACTAACACTGCTAATCCAATTTTGAATGCCCTTTTGTCATCATTAATCCTTGTCCAACACAATATTTTTGCACAAAAACCAGGTGTCTTTTTACTGAGAGAAATGGTGTTTATTGTATGAGATTAAGCCTTGTGAACATTCAGCACCTATGTTCTTAATATTTTCTAAACTGTATGCAATTCTACCTTAAATTATAAATCGGTTACTATTACAAGATCATGTCTGCTTACCAACTTGAATCCATTCAACTGAATTTGAGGGTTTTTTTTGTCTTCTAAAATAATATTTCAGCCATGGAAACAAAGAAGTATTTTCCTGCCGTGGGATAAAATTGGCAGTAGATTGGTTTTTGGAAAGAGGCCACAAAGACGTTACAGTTTTTGTTCCTGCTTGGAGAAAAGAGCAGTCCCGACCTGACGCTCTCATTACAGGTAAGCCCTGTGAGTGGTGTGTTCCTGGCTTTTTAATAGCCACTGTCGGGTGTTCTGTTGGGCAGCATGTTAACTCACATAATCTGACTGCTATACTGTCTTAGAAAGGACATTAACTTTAAAGTTTGAAAATTATCTGATTACATTAGCTAAATATGAATTCTTATATATACGCTACTTTATTTTTCATTCCTATAGAAACTTTTGACTTCAGATTTTGTAAATTCTGACGTGTAGAAATATGTTGGGAGTCAGGAGACTTAGATTCACAATCTAGCGTTGCCTTTTATTGGCCCCAGGATTATGAGTGAGACACAGGACCCACTGGACCTCTGGGCTCCATTTTCTTATCTGCTCTGTAAAATTAGACAAGGTGCCTATTGAACTCTAAAGACTATCTGGTGCCAAATAGGAGAAAAGACTCAGATCCAGGAAAGTATTTGTATTTTGCATAATTTTGTCAGGTTTAAATATGTATGCTTCAGACCAAGATGTCCTTTATAAAAGACTGTTATTAATATTTACGTCTAGTTCAGTGATTCTCATTCAGCACGCAGCCCTTTTTACCCCCCTCACCGCTTCCAACATGAACAACAACTGGGGGGCACCTCTGTGAAGCAAACCATAAAACTCTTCATATCAAAACCAAATGAAGAAGGATAAGCAAGAGACTTCTCACTTTCCCATCTCAAAACTTACTACACAGCTACAACAAAAGACACAGTGGAGCAGAATTGAGAACCCGATAGTAAATCCACCCATCCACGGTCAGTTGATCTTTGACAAAGGGCTGAAGCCCATTAAATGATGAAGAGATAGTTTCTTTGGCAAACAAGTGCCAGAAAAACTGGAAATCCATTTGCAAAAGAATGAAACAAGACCCATATCTCACATCATATACAAAAGCGAACTCAACGTGGATTAAAGACCTAAATGTAAAACCTAGAAGATTATCAATGAAAAAAATAGGGACAAACTTAGAGGCTGTGATACTTGGCATAAATATAGTATCAGACATAAATGAAAACACAGTAAGAAGACAAACTAGATGACTGGGACCTTCTGAAAATGAGACACTTTTGTACATCAAAAGATTTCACCAAAAGAATAAAAAGAGAATGCACAGACTAGAAAAAAAATTGGGGCAGTGACATATCAAAGAACTAACCTCTAACATTTACAGAAAACGTCAACACCTCAAGAAGCAAAAGACAAATAATTCAATCTAAAACTGGGCAGAGAACATGAACAGACACATCACCAAAGAAGAAATTCAGAAGGCCAACAAACATGAAGAAATATTTGCAATGTCTACTGTTGTTGAGTCATTTTTTATCCAACCCAGTGTAGAGTTTCTAAGGAGCGTCTGATTGGTTCAAACCACCGACCTTGTGGATAGCAGTCCAGTGCTTATCCTACAGTTCCACACCAGGACTCCCATTAGCCATTGTTGTTGTTAAGTGCCATCAAGAGTCGGTTCCAACCCACAGCAACCCTGTATAAGGTTTCTGAGGAGCGGCTGGTGAGCTTGAACCACTGACCTTGCAGTTGAAAGAGCGTTGCAGTCTTGTGCATTAACCCACAGGACCTCACCAGGACTCCCCATTAGCCATTGTTGTTGTTAGGTGCCATCGAGTTGGTATCGATTCATAGTGACGAGAGATGAGAGATGCAATGTGCCATCTCACCCCAGCAAAGTTCAAAGAAGGAGAAAACAAATACTGACAAGGATGCAGAGACTAGAGCCCTCCTACACTACTGGTGCATCACTGTGGAAAATAGTATGGTGTGTCCTCAAAAAGTTGGAAATAGAAATACTATATGCCCTAGTAATCTCTCTACTTGGTTTTTATATCCCAGAGAAACAGGAGCCAGGACAAGAACAGATATATGCACACCCATGTTCATTGCAGCAGCACTATTCAAAATAGCAAAAAGATGGAGACAGCCTAAATGCTCATCAATGGAAGTATAGATCAACTTTGGCGTTTGCACACATTAACTGGGTGACACACATTAACTGGGTGATGTTGTTATGTGCTGTGGAGTTGGTTCTGACTCACAGTGACCCTGTACAGGGTTTCCAAGGCTGTAAATCTTTACGGGAGCAGAAAGCCTCATCTTTTTCCCACGGAACAGCTGGTAGTTTTGAACTCCTGTCCCTGAGGTTCACAGCCCGATTCATAACCACTACGCCACCAGAGCTCCTTAACTGGGTGATAGGGAAAGCTATATATAACAAGAGGGAGACTGGCAGAAAAAAATGATGAAGGCAGGGGAAGACAGAGGAGTACAAGAGTTAAAAGTTCCAGAAGTAAATAGTGTTATATGCAGTCTTATAATAGCAGGAGCCCTGGTGTCAGAGTGTAGGATAAACACTGGGCTGCTAACCACAAGGTCCATGGTTCAAACCTACCAGCTGCTCCTTGGAAACCCTATACAGGGTTGCTATGAGTCTGACCCGACTTGATGGCACTTAAACAAAGACAGGTATATACATGGACAGATACACAGGCTAAACTGATGTGGGAGGAAAAGTGGGAGCATACCCACAAACATATAAGGGTTTAAAAGAGGATATCTGTAAATGGTATTTACCTTTGTTGCAAACATATCCATGAATGTGGTGGAGCATAGGGGCAGGGAGCAAAATGATGAAAACTTCTTAGACATAACCAAACACCCTGAAGGAATGAGTTGCTTGTCCTAGCAGCTCAGAACCATGGTCTTAAGGGACATCATAGTCAATTGGTATAATGTCTACAAAGAAAATATTCTACATCCTACTTTGGTGAATAGCGACTGAATTTTAAAAGCTATGACCGGCCATTTAAGGTGCAACTATTGGTTTCTCCATGACCCTGAGACCAGAGGAACTAGATGGTGCCCAGCCACCACTACCAACTGCTCTGAAAGGAAGGGATTACATTAGCAATCCTGGATAAACAGCCAGGCTTACTGGTCAGATGGAGACTATGGTCCTATGTCACCCTTCAAGTCTAGAAATGAACTCACATCCATGGCTCAATTTTCAGGCAAGCAGTGAAGTTCTGGTATGGCGCTGTGGGCTAATCATCAGACTGCAAAGTCGTGTGAACTGCAAGGTTGGTGGTTCAAGCTCACTACCTGCTCCTTGGAAAGCCAATAAAGGGTCGCTATGGGTTGGAATCGACTCGATGGCACTTAACAACAACAACCATAGATAGGTATATAGAGGAGACAACCACCCTAGTGAAATACATACAACATAGAATGGTCAGTCATACAAGATCCAAAGGTGAGAATTTACCCAAAGATAAAATCCAGACGGGTAGGGAAAGCAGGCAGAATGGAAGCAAGAAACCCAGAGAAGAAGTGGTGCTTCAGTGAGACAGCTACAACAGAGATGATTTACTGACGATAGAACTCATGGACCACTTTGTAAACTTGCACTCAGCCCACAATAAAAAGGTGAGGAAATGAAAAACAAAACCCCAACACCAACACAAATGAAGATACTACCTACCAGTACCTGAAATGGAAGGCCATTCTAGAGATGTTTATCCTAACCAAATTCATTTACAAGTGCAGTGTGATCTTCTCTGTATAATTTCTATGTTTAAAAAATTATTGACAAATAATTGATTCATCTTAAGAAGATAGATTAGTTGCAAGAACAGCTGGCGAAGAATAATAAGAAAGGATGATTGGCCTATAAAATAAAAACATGCTCTTTATCTACAATCATCAAATCATTAAACTAGCATCAGAATCGATCAGGAAGCAATGGCAGAGTTAAAATCTATAAAATCAGACCCTATTCTACTATATAAAAAGATAAAGTTGGAAAGATGTGGGCACCATTCAGCTAATAGTACCAATACATTCAGTAACCCTTTGGGATTACATATATTGTTAAGACCCATAGCGACTCTGTATAGGATTTCCAGGAAGCAGCTGGTAAGTTTGTACCTCTGAACTTGGAGTTCAAATCGACCTTGTGGTCCAGTGCTTATAGCACCACACCAGGACGCCATATATATATATTGTGTGTATATATTGTTAAGTGATGATGAGTCACTTCCAACTCATAGCAACCCTGTAAACCTAGGCTCATAGTGTGGCACTGTGACTTTATGCGCTGGATGCAAAGTCAGTTTGAAACGCAATGTAGGCAGTTCAAGCTCACCAGCCGCTCCTCGGAAACCCTATACAGGGTCTCTATGGGTCGGAACTGACTCTACAGCACTTAATAACAACTATATACATGTATATGTATAGGGGTGTGTGTGTGTGTGTATATATATATATATTCTTGTACCATATGTCAATAAATTCCAGATGGCTTGAAGGATTAAATGTCAGAAATCAATCCATCATATAAATAGTATTTGACAAGGAACAGCTTTATAAATTTTAAAGTTTTAGAAGAAAGTTAAAAAACGATGACAGATTTAATTATATGGAATTTTAGCATAGTGGTTACGAATCGGGCTGTGAACCTGAAGGTCAGCATTTTGAAACTACCAGCAGCTCCGCGGGAGAAAGATGAGGCTTTCTACTCCCGTAAAGATTTACACCCTCAGAAACCTTGTACAGGGTCGCTATGGGTCGGAACCGACTCCACGGCACTTAACAACAACAATGCCTAAGGGGGGAAAAATCAACAAAAACCCCGTGCCGTTAACATATAAAAAGAGCTGACCTAGATGCATAAAACAAACACAAAGTGTCTGTCCTCTAGTGTAGAAAGGAAAATTGACACTCATGGGCAACTCTCACAAAAGAAAAGCAAATGTCAAATATTCAAACTCATAATTACAAATGAAAAACAACTTTACCCATGAAATTAGCATACATTTTTAAACTAATAACACCCAGTATACTGAGGGAGTTACATTGGTGTGGAAGTTATCATTTGTTACAGCCAGTTTGTAAGGCAGTTTTGTCCTTAACTAATCATAAAGAAATTCAAGGTGCATTGTTGGTGTAGAAATGTCAATTGTACAGCCAATTTGTAA